AATTTTTTATCGAAAATTATCTTAAAAAGAAAAAATAATTTATAAAAAAATTATCTTATTAATCAATAAGTTATTTTTTATTAATCACTCAATTTTTTATTAAATAAATACATGAAAAAATAAAAATTATTTTTCAAAAATCATTTTTTATCAAAACAAACTGAACCTAAAATTGGTTTTGTGCTCATTTGGGCTCGTGCATTCTGAGAGTGCTCCTCAAAGTATAAACCCTCCAAACATCTTTAACAAAAGTAACTTGAAATTGTGGTCCTTTGAAAACGAGTTACTGTGACTTTTGAAATACGTTATATTTTCAACGTGATTAACGAAAATCATTAGTAGAATAATCTAAATTAAAATAATTATATATCCATAATTAAAGGAGACAATTACTATTTAATTCTGTAAAATTTATATTCATTAGTTAAAATTAAAATTCATACTTAATAGCATATATTATTGCATTTTAAAAAGAGAAAAAAATCTCTTAGAGTAATAACCCACTTGTAAACTTAAGAAAAAAAAAAAGTATAAATTTATCCACTCAAAAACTAATGGAGCAATATTTCAAAAAAACTGAAAGTGGCATTGAATATAATAAAATTTTCATTTAAAATGTTGAAGATCTACGACTGAGTAGTTGAATTAATATATTTTTTACTAAAGATGTTATAATTTAAAGATAAAAAAAAATTAGAAATATTAAAATTTGAATTACAAATTTATTAAAATTATATTTAAAAAATAATTATAAAATAATTGAAATAAATTTTAATTTAATTAAATTGATATTTAAGTCGAGGTGAATTATTTTTTTATTGAGAATATCCAATATTTTTATATTTTTTAGAGATAAAAGGTAGATTTGATAATTCGTATATTTATATTATGTTTGATATATATAATAATACGAATTATTGAAATATGAATATGATATGAATTATAAAACATATTTAAATTCTAAACATGAATATGACACGTTTATTATACGTGTTATATGCGACACGACACGATTAATATATATAATTAATTTATTTAAATACGACACGAATAAACATGACTTAATATTGATACATATGAATAGATACGACTAATACAGATATATAATAATAAACACAATTAACATAAATATGTACAAGAACATGATTAAAATAATAAATAACTATAAATTATCCATAAATTATAATTTAATAAACTTGATATATTAATAATATAAAAAAGTACTTACATATTAAAAAAAATTTAATACCCATTAATATGTATTTAAAATTTAATATATATTACATAACTATATTAGTTTTTAATATCAAATTCAAAATGATAAACTATTAAAAATTAAAAATAAAATAATAATGTATGGGACTAAAATTAATATTATTATTATATTATAAACAAATAATGTTATAATAATTATTAAATGAGAATCATAATTAAATATTTAAAATAATTTATACATGATATTAAATAGTTAATTAAAAGATTAAAATTAGAAACAATATTTATATATTATATTAAATTAAAATAAATATAAAAAATATGTTAAACGTGTTAAATATGTTAAAAGTATTAAACATGTTAAAATATGATAAATTAAATTAAATGTATTATTTATATCATGTCACATGCTTAGACTCGTTAACACATATAAGACAAATTTTGTGATATTAAAATTTGTATCGATATGAACAAGCATGAAAAATATTTTTTTTAAATACATATATAATTTATTTTATGTCATTTTCGTATTAAATTATTATACCTTGTTTAAAATTATCAAATCTAATAAAAGGAAGTGGGTCCATTTTCATATATAATAAAGGCCTACTCAAAACTGGGCCCAGTTTCTCAAATAGTGGGCCCGGAATTTCATCACAAAACCCAACCATCTTTCCTGTCTTTTACTATGCCATCAAAAGAAGAGAAAGAAAGCCTATGAATTGTTATAAAATAAAAAATAATTAAAAAAAAAAGACTATAATGAATATGACGGAGCGAAGAAAAAGTGATTCACGTGAGCCCAAAACTCGCACAGGCCAACTGGTGGCCCCACACCATTCCAACGGATGATCTACCTTTGATGGTGACCGAAATTAGAGATGGTGGGTGCAGATTTACTTGTCAGCTCCATTAACGTTATAATGATTAGATCAGCGGGGGTGGCAGGGTGACGGTCCAATGGGGGAACAAAATGTGGCGTCATCGAATTAGTTGTAGTTTATTACACGTGTTCTAAGTGGTCCCCTTGTGGGAACTGTAAGGTCTTACACGGGAGGCAGGTGAAGCTCCAAAGGTAGAATAGGACCACACGACGCATGGAAATTTTGAGTTTGATTCATGAGACTGTTAGTGTTATGCCCAAATCATTTCCTGTCCAGGATATTTAATAGTGGTAGATTATAATCACATCAAATTAAATTTCACCATAATAATAATAATATAAATAAAATATTAAAATTATCTTATATATCATTTGTTTTTATAGAATTTTTAAACTTTACAAACAAAATTAAAAAAAATTAATTAATACTTTTAGATATATTTTAAAAAGTCAAAAGTTTTATATATAATAAAAAAAGATACATGACATTCATCGTTTATATATACTTTCTTCAATGAATTAAAACATAATAATAACTATTAAAATTTTTATTTCTAATTTGAGCATTTTTATCATTTAATATTTTTATGAATTATTATTTTAAACATGTTGATTGAGTTTTTAAATTTTATAAATAATATTAAAAGGTTATCAAGTATCCCGTTTTTAATTATATTAATTTTTTATTTTTAATATATTTAAAAAATATGAATCAATTTTTTAATTTCATATCTCAAATATAAAACCTTTAAATATATATATATAATAGTTTTTTATTTTTTATGCATACTGATAAAAAGAACTTAGAAAAGTCAATCATATCGTTAAAAAGTAGTTGAAAAACTCTACTTACAGATCGCTCATGATAAGAGAAAGATAATAGTTTGAATTTGATCAAATTTGATTTAATTTTTTTAAATAATTTATAATATTATAAATTTTTAAATTTTGATTCGAATTTGAATTAATTTTTTTAAATCAATTCGCTTTGAACTGAATTTTATAAATTCGATTTGATTTAATTCGTTAATTTTTAAAATATGATTTTTTATATATTATTTTAATATAATTTTTAATATATTTAAATAATTTATATATAACATAATTATTTTATTTTATAAAAATTTAATATATATATAAACTAATAAAAATACATAATTTAATTTTTTCTTTTTTTGTTTTTTACATTCCAATTCAAAATTCAATTAAAATTTAATAGATGTTTAATATCTGAACTTAATTCAAATAAAATAAAAAAATTGATTTAAATTAAATGGAATACTATAATTTTGAATTAATTTTGTTTTTTTTTTTCCTCATCCTTATTCGTGATAATGGTTCATTTAATATAATATTTTTATACAAAATATGACATTTTGGAGGGCTTATAAATCAACTCTGATAAGATTTAGGATTCATTTAGATAAGTGGTAAGATTAGTTCCGATAAGATTAAAAATAATAGTGAAAGTGAATTTAATTATTATAATAATAAGATTAAAATCAATGATAAAATATATATTTGGTTATAAAAATAACGATGACAGTAAGATGAATTATAATAAAAAAATAAAATGATCATTAAGGATATTGGCTAAAAAAATATATGTAAAAAATTTAAAAATTTTAATATTTTGAAATTCATAAATAATTATTAAATTATTTTAAAATCAATAATAGTTTTTATTAATAAATAAATTAATAATTAATTATATAATAATAAAATTTATTTTTATATTAGAGTAACAAAATTACTTTATAATTTTTAAATAAAAAACTCAAAATCTAGAAAAAAAATCAGAATAAAAAGTTAAAAAGTGCTAACTTCAGAAAAAAAAAGAAAAAAGAAAAGAAGTTACCATTGGAGTTAAATGAAACCTTTTGACTCTAGTGATCAAAGAACAAAAATCCTAACACACCACAACATTATTTGAATATCAAAACTGCTGTTGGCTCAATTTTTCATTACAATTACATCACCACTGAAGGTTGGACGCAGACAAAATGCGGCCTTAAAGGAACCGCCTCATGCGGTGAGATCTTTTTTCTCGAGTGACATGGGTGAGTGCGGCATGGTCACGGACGTTAAGGCTTTACTCTTTCAAGTATCAAAAAAAGAATTGGCAAATCAAATTTGGAAACATAATTTCAATTTTTTTAAATAGGCAATGTCATTCGACGTCTTTTTTGCAGATCAAATACTGGTTTATTATAACGATATCGATATTTCAATTTTTTATCATGAACTAGTCCGACTTTGTATCAAAAAATATAAAGAAATCAAATGATCAACTGTTTGAACCAAAAGTTAGTAACCTATTTGAAATTACATATAGTTCAGATTATTTAAGTTAAGATTTTAAAATTCATTCACGGCTCAAAAAATTTTCTAAATTCTAACTTATGACAACGGCTCTTGTACAAGAAAAATAATAATATATAATCATAAAATTTATAATACTAATTTTCTTTTAAAGTAAAGGCTCTATTACTAGTTAAGTTGCCAGTAAGAGAGTATAATTACTAGCATTTTTTTAGAAAATAATATATGATTATATATAATAGTTTTAAATATAACAACATGTGATATAAAAATTATATAAATATAAAAATTTTAATAAAAATATATAAATTTAGTCAAAATAATAAAATATATTTGATTTTATCGTATAATATAAACTTATATAATAAATTTCATATTTTGTACCTATTTATATAAAAATATATAATTACAGTTTTATATATTATATATATCGGGTCTATTTATTTGCCAAAAGCAGCAAACATTATGTGAGAGCTGAGTTCATGACATATGGTGCCCTTTGCAGTCAATCTACTAACCAAAAAAGGCACTCTTTTCCAACCTGAGGTAATCTATTGTTCCCCACTCCCAAACTCTCACTTTTTTCATCGCCTCTCCTTTATGGGCAAAGAACATTACTTTAGAAGCACAAGCTTGATACAACTATATTGGTAAAGCCTTAACGAAAAAGATTAATCATCTGTCTCAACTCTCAGTCTCAACAACTACTGTTTTGGTCATTTGTTCAATTTCCAGTTTGAGAAAGTTTATCACCAAACCCATGCATGTCATAATGAAGAAAACCATACATGGGATTGCTCTCTGATATCTATTCTTCCCTAGCCTGTTTTTCCGATTTCTCTTTTTGGGGTTCTTGTTTTCCTTGTTTCTGCTCTGTTTACTGTGTAATGTGAGAAAGAGAGGGTGGTGGCTGCTTATAAGCTTGGTTTTCTGATGGGTGCTGAAGATTACTGGGAAATGGTGGCACCAACAGTGGCTCCATTGAATTTAGAGAAGGAAGAGCACTGGAGGCGTTTTGACAACTCAGTGAATGCAGTTTCCTTTGGTTTTGTAGCCACCGCAATTCTTATATCAATGTTCCTTGTTATGGCTATCTTTGAGAGATTTCTCAGGTCGAGATCATTGTCCTCCAATACTAGAACCCTTACTGATCTCGAGTCTCCGACAACTTTCAATAGCAAGCTTGAGTACCCTTCTCCCAAAGTAAGCTCTCTCTCTCTCTCTCTCTCTCTCTCTCACCCTTTGTTTTTTTTTTTTCTATTCAAGTTTCAAAATCTGCCAGAAGATTTTGTGTGGGTGTATGAAAGGGAGTGAAATGAGTGATCCAGAATATTAGAAAAAATATTAGAACATTAATGTAGTATTATTTTTTCCCTTTTCCCTGATGAGGATGGTGGCTTTGCCATTTGATCTTTTCTGTCTGTTTAGCAGTGGTAATGAGTGGGCTTGGCAGCATGATTGTGACTCTTCTTTTGCATTCCTTTTTTTTGTGTAATCATAGCTAATTTGGTGGATCAGTTTTGACTGGTCATCACGCACAGTGCATTGTTGCATTAAAACGAATTGAATCGATTACTAGTATCATAAATTACATGTTTTTCTTCTTTTATTTCCCCCATATGTTTCGATCAAATTTTCTTGGATTGGCAAATATTTACTACTAGTATCGTTTATTTCTTGATGTCTTTGGTTCATAGTATATGTTTCTATTGTGGAAAACTTTCTTTTAGTCTTTGGATAAAACTCTTTTCCTTGGATAAAAAGGTTGATAGGAAGGACCAATCTTCTAAATGTACAGACACCATCTTATTTACATGGTCTCTATTTGATTACCCATGTTGCCATTCGTCCTTTTTCTCATTCACTGATAATACCATGGATTTTTTTTTCACTTTGAACCAAAAATATAGTTTTTAAAGCTGCTTGTTTCTGCGAAAATTTTACATTAAAAGAAGAAAAAAAAAAGACAAGATGCATTTGTAACTTAAATCAAATTCAAAAAAATAGTTTGAGATATTGTGTTTATAAATTACATACTAAAACTAAAAAACTACTGTAGAGAATCTTGTCTGAATTCTTTTGTCAAGATTTAGCTTTCATATTTTCAGTTGTTTATCTCATTGTTGTTAATTTTGTTTCGGTATGACCTGTATCGGTTGATATATTTTAGTTATACTAAATATGACATATTTAAAATTAATTTTTTGTACCGAATTTGATATTGGGTAATACTAATTGTTTTTATTTATTTTGGTTGATTTCAGTGAATTTCGATCACATTGCATGTTTTGGCCTATAAGTGAATGTAAAATATATTTTATAATTTTTAATTTATCTTTTATTATTTGACTATTTTTAATCTAATAAAACTAAAACTAATAAATAAAATAACCCTTAAATTTGGAGTTTTTTGTTTTTTTATTGTAACTTTTTTTTTACACTTTATTTTTCCAAACTAAAATTCATAAGTATTTTTCCAAACTAAAATTCATAAGTATTTCAATCTATTTCAAGAAAAAAATTGTGCTTCCTCTCTAAAGTTTAAGAATCTAAAGCTAAAATTAATTTCTTTTTCATTTTTTTATTTTTATCTTAATATATTTTTACATGAAAAAGTACTTATTTAAATATCATTTGATTCTTATTTAAATATCATTTGATTAGATTAACTGTTTTAATCCAAACCAAAATTCATAAGTATTTCAATCTATTTGAGGAAAGCAATTGTGTTCCTTCTCTAAAGTTTAAGAATCCTAAAGCTAAAATTAATTTCTTTTCATTTTTTTATTTTTATCTTAATATATTTTTACATGAAAAAAAATACTCATTTAAGTATCATATAATCAGATTAAGTATTTAAAAATATCATAATAAATTAATAATATTATTTGTTAAATTTTTAAACTTATTTATTTCGTTTTTTAAAATATTGTATATTTATTTTGCATTAGAAGTATTATTATGTTAGAGATTCATGTATATTTATAAATATACATGTATTAAACTAAACAATCTGAAATAATATATCGAAACAATTGATACTGACATATATCACTTTTTTAAAGAAAACCAAAACGTTTTAGTTACGATATTAATGACTTTAGTTTATCTGCCAACAATCATAGTTTTCTTAAACCTTAATCTATTTGTTTTCTTTGAACGAAGAACTAACGTATTTAACTATACTTATTATTTTTCTACAGTGTCAATATTTTATAACACAGGTACACAGATAAGCATGATCTATGTGTTGTCCTGTGGGTTCATTAGGGCAAGTGGGAGCATTATCCATCAACAGCATGTGATTTTTGTCTCAAATGTCATACATACTGACAGGCAGACTTGAAGTCTTTGCCTAACTTTGTTTAATTTGATATCTAAATCCTTCGATTGTGATTGTATTGCTTAGTCATTTTGACTTTTTGAGGTTCCATCTAATCAGGGTTGCAAATAAAGGTCATAATGAATACAGCCTCATAACCTTAGCATTAATGAATACTTCCTCTCATTGCCATCCCAATAATTGTCCATTTGCATTAAGTGCATTGACAAAATGTTCAAGCTATGCATACGGAATTGTCGTTCAGATGCAATTTTTGGGAATACCATTGGCCAACATCGTCACCCGATGTGTTACTAAATTGAAGTATAAAAGCATGGCTTCACTTGTCCCTGTTCAATTGTTAGTTTAATATTATATTATCTTTGATTGCTACTAGTTCTACCTATTTTCAATGTACACTGTCATCTGGTTGTTAGAATCCCTTGATTTGTGGAAAAGGTGGAAAAATCTGCATATCTTAATATGCTAATGCTATGCTTCTATCCCGGGAGTGACAAACTCATCCTTTTGTCTCTTTTATGGTTTCCAACTACCTTTGGTAATGGAAGAACAATCAAATAAAAAATTCAGCCATCATTAAGTCTTTGTCTGGATTTCGGTACGTATTTCATGTTCACTTATTCTACTTCTCTTACTTATTTAGAATTATTTGGTGACTAATTTGTTTGGAATAGGGACTTAAATTTCATAAAAGATTTGTTTGAATTTTTTAAAATTAATTAGATATTACTTGATGGAAATGAAAACTTGCAAGAGAATAATTTTAAGAGAAAAAAGATTCTAGATAAGCAAGTTAATAGACTTATAAATTATGTATGAGAGAAAAATGTAAAAGAGTTATGAGATTTTATAAGATAAATATCTCAGGATTAGAAGAGATTGAGATGATTCTTATGAGTGTGAATGATTATTATATTTGTGAGTAGATTATAAGAGATTGAGAGAATTTACATGAGTACTTGTTTGTTTAAATTAAAAATATTTTATAGGACTAGAGGAGAATTTCTATAAATATTGATTGTAAGTGAGTGATTGATTATTTATTGGTTTGACTTGATTGTAAATTATGTACAATTAGTGGATTTGTTCTCTCACTATATAAGCCATTTTAGGTTAGGCTGAATGTTAAATTATTATTTCCTGTATAAATGATTTATAATTTGATTATGCTTCCGCTTGCTTGATTATTTGATTGATTTTGGGCTTTTAGTTTGACATGAATTGCACATTAACCCTATAACAAGGCTTTACTTCTCGATCACTTAATTTGTATCCCCTATCCTCATTGGCACTGCATATGGTTGCCTGTTTTGTTCGTTAAATGTTTATTTATATGTTCTTGCAGGTGACAATTTATGCCAATGGGGTATCAGTTCTGATGCCTGGTGAGGAAACTCCTACTTTCATTGCCCATCCTGCTCCTGCACCATGCCTGCCAGAGCGCATCTTGAAGCCTCTGCATCAACAACAGAAGCAAAGCATTAGTGTGTCCTCAAGCTCAAGGTGAACATAGCATTGCATGAAATGATGAAAATAAAGCAGCTGAGTAGTAGAGAACCAGGGGTTTTTTCACAATTTTTTTTATTGATGCCATCTATGAAATTCAAGTTCGCTACTAGTGAACCCAGAATGTCCTGAAAGGAAAATGGGTGCCCAGAGATTGCCTTTTGATATTTACATTTGTATTTGAAGAAAAATGAAATGTCGATTAGCGTCTGTAAAACCATCCATGGAAAACTAGAGACTAAAAGGTGAGATCGATGCTCCATTTAACATTATAGTGACAAGAATTTTAGTGCTTCAGTTATAGTATCAAAATCCATGGTAAGAACACAGCACTAGAGTAGAGGAATTGTCTAATTCCATGCAATGCAACCTTCTTTGCAGATGAACCATTGTGCAACCTAAGCCCATAGCCTTGCTTACTAAAAAGCCAAAAGCTTATGCCTAAAAATGTGCTGAGGTCGTCCATACGTAAAGCCGTTGTGAAGGTTTATTATAAGAAAAAAAAAAATATATATATATATATATATATATCATATTCCGGCTTACATGACCATAAATTCATGCACCCTCTGAAATTGGGTCATAGCCCAATGCAAAGAAACGGTTTTCTTCTATTTTCTGGGAAGGCACTAAATTGGGGCCGAAGCCCAAAGGCTTTTATGGCACCTTGGGGGCAAAAAGCTCTTTGAGCCCATCCTGAAAAGATTGGAAATTGGAAAAGTAGTGCCGACAGTCATTTTTTTTCATTTTCCTTCCTTTAGTTACTGTTTACTACTACTGAAAATTTATTATGTCACGAAAGAACTGTGGAAGGAGAATGGATTTTAGCAATGTAACAATCAATATTCAATATCATTTTTTACAACTAGTAAGTACTAAAAGCACAACAATTGTTAGTAATATGCATTTTTACAACTAGTAAGTACTAAAAGCACAACAATTGTTAGTATTATTTGTTTCCCTATAAGAGACCCAAGATCAAAAGTTTTGACTTATCTCCTATCCCTTGTTTCTTGTTTTGATGCTATAATCTTGAAAATTTTTATAGTTAATTTCAATAAAGGTTTTGTAGTGCAATAATCTATGAACTTAAAAACTATTACTAGTAGTTACTACTATCATTTTTTTGTTGATATATCAATATAAATTGTGATATAATAATTTTATATTTTATATATGTTTGATATGAAATAAATTATCATAAATATACAAATTATCAATATACAATGTCCTACCCTTTTAAACAGTGAACTGCCTAATGCCTGTCTTCTTCCATGATCAATAAACGTTTCAAAGAAAAATGGAAAACACATTTTTAACAGTGGCTTGAGAGTCAAGATGCTATGAACGAAATTGCGCATAGCAAAAAATTTCTTAAATCAAATCACCAGTTATCAAAAGTCCAAAAAACCCTAGCTCGAAAAGCCACACTTCCACCGGGCAGAACTTTTATATAAAGTTCTTCGGATGTTTTATTTTCATCAAATCCTATTAATTCGAATGATAAAAGATTTAATTTTTTTAAAATAAAATTTTAATTTTAAATTTTATGAATAAAAAAGTAAATATTAAAAAGATTTATTCCTTTTACAGAATCCAACTCAATTCGATTCTTAAATAATCGAAGTTTAAAATGATTAACGAAAAATCTTTATAAAAAAGAAATCCTCTGTTTGAAACTAAAGATGTTTAACTTGAAAAAGAAACTACTCCCTCTACCTACTGTTGCTCTTGATTTTTTTTCCTTCTTTGCATTTGGATTTCAATCAAGGCTTAATCTTTTTCTTCATTTGAATTATTAAAATTTTGGACTTTTCCTTAATAAAAAGGATTATATTTAATACATTGTTAAGAAAAATATGATTTACTTTGAAATTTTTATTGGTTTGTTTTTTGTTTTTATAAAAAGGTATATATGTTCAAAGTTTTTATTTTATGTAATTTTATTCGTTGTTAACATTCGTCTTTTTTTTTTTCCCGAGCATTTGATCTCATTTATATGAATTTGTTTTTGTGCTGATTGTTACCTTAAATTTTCGTTTTATAAAGTTCTACAATCAACCCATTTTTTAAGGTACTTACAAGCATGTTTAAAAGTCCTTTCAGGTTACTCTGTGTAGGAAAAAAAAAAGCGGACAATGATGATGCAGTGTTAACGGCTTGATAACTTTTAATTGTTTACTGATTAAGATCATTGGACAGATGTCAAATTTTTATTGAAAATTTTGAAAAAATTTGCCTATAAAACTTCGCGTAAATAAAAAAAAAAAGGACAAGAAGTCCGTGCCCTCCCCTCACTCCAACAAAAAAAAGAGGAGAAAAAGAAGATGATGCATTTGTAGCACCTTTTAACTTGCATGTGTATCTAGATTAGTCACAAGAAAACTCTTACCAAGAAGGGTAAAATTAAAGATTTATTCATAAGCCCCACAACATTGTGATTAAAGATTAATCACAAAATTTTGCTCCGGACTAAGCAGGCAACAACAAGCTATTTCCACAAACAAGAAAAACAATTTTTTTTTCATCTTTTTTCATAAAAAGATGAAGCACTCTAAGGAAACAAGAGGGTTCTCAAGTGACTCAGTGCACCGCTGCTGCTCCAACACGTCCCCGTTTCCATCTTCCTCTCTCTTACTCTGGCCTTCCACTGCTGCGGTACCAATAGCCTTGCTATCGGTTTTTCCAGTTACCGTCGTAGGACTCTTCTCGACGGCACCCCTACCCACTCCACCGGCTCTTCCGGTTCCCGGTGACCTGGACCTGGACCCCGCGTTACGCTGCACAGTCCTCACCTCACCTAGTACCGTTCCTCGACCACGGGCCTTCTTCTCTGGTGATGGGTCCACTCTAGCTCGTACACTGCCAGAGTCTCCGTTACTAGGACGCTTTTTTATTACCTTTGCTGGAGACATGTGTTTGACTTCGCTGTTCTCTTTGCTCGTTGCTTCATCTTCTTTCAGGCCTTTTGCTGCTCTAGCTGACGTCGTCGTTGTAGTTGTTGTTGAGATGGTTTCCGAGATGCTGTAAATCTCTGAAAGTTGAGACAGATCGGATGTTTCTTGCTGATAATGTTGTTGTTGATGTTTCTTAATTGGACTTGAAACCTCTGTTTGGGCTTTGGGTGGTGAGAATAGAGGGATTTGGGTGTTCTTTTCTTCTTGTTTCTTGTGGAGTATGGGTGTTTCTGAAAGCACCAATACTTCTTTTATTACAGTTTCTTCTTCTTCTTCAGGAGGAGGTGGGGTTTTGTGAGAATGTAGGATCGGAGGTTTCAGTGGTGAATGGTGGGGTTTAGGTGGGTTTTGGTTCTTTTGATCGGTTTTGCTAGTGGCGATGGCGGCAGCGGTGGTGGTGGTGGTGGTGGTGGAGCTAAAGCAGCAGCCCATCTTTGGTGGTGAAACGTGAAAATGCTGATTGTAGTAAGGGTGAAGGAATGGAATTATGGAAGAAGTTGCATTAGGTGGGATTTTGATTTTTGTTTGAAAATCAAACGGCTATCAAAGTCATACGCAAGCGTTATCTTTAGTACTACCGCTAGACAACTGACTAATAGTGAAAACTAGACACAGAAATTTGAAAGAGGAAATTGTGTACAGTTAGAGCGACGGGCCAAAAGGACTGGCCTGATCAAAGCCGAGGGCATCCTAGACTGGCTATTGGCTAATGACCAAGTAGTCTTGGTGAGCGATTTATAAGTGTGAAGTTACTAGAATTACTACTATAATGACAAAAAAGGTTGTGCTATTGGGGATATAGAGGGTTGGCACTTTAGACTGAATTTAGAGAGCTTTATTGGGAATTATAGGAGGGTGAGGGGGTAATGAAGGATACAGCTGGACAGTGATTATTATGTGAAGGGAGTGCGTTGAAAGAGGGAACTGTTTATATTACTTTCGAAATGGTATTAGGCTGGGCAGTACGGAAAGACTTTGAAAATTTTGCTTATAATTGTGATGTTTGGAGGCTAGCAATAGCATGCATCATGGTTGGACCCAGTAGCCCAAGGATGCTATTATTCTACCCTTTTATGTATCAGAGCCCATTTGCTAGAGTTTAAGAACACGACCATGACCACCATTGTTGGCGGCCAAGTTGCATTGTGAAGCCAAAATCCACCATCATATAAATGGTTTAAGCAAATATTCTGTTCTCGAGGTTAGCTTGGTGCCCCTTCTCTTTGACGAAAACAAGCAGCGAAGCACAAGGTTTTTCTAATAGAAATTAGAACTGTGGTTCACCCAACATCTACACTTCAATCGTGGAGAACAGGACATCCTGACTGCTTCGTTTTTCCTTTATTGAATCACTAGCAGCCATGAAAAACCAAAACCACGAGCCCCACATAGGCCACGTGGTTTTAATTGATTAGGATTACGTAGCATCCAGACAACAGCATCCATCCATCAAGGTTGTCCGAGGCCCTTGACAGGTCTTGTGGCAGGTCTGTAGCAACATGCAAGCTATCTGATTGACAGGCGCACATCTACTTGTCAATTAATATTGGACTAAGGTTCAAGGTTTCCCAAAAATTTATAAGCAGTAAGGGTCGTGGGACGAATTAAATGAATTGAACTTGAGTAAAATGATTGATCAGAGAAAACCAATACTGTAGCTGATAATTAAAACAAATGGAATCTACAGCGGGAACAATTTTGAATCAGAACTGTGTGGCAGATCCTGGGAGCACTAAAATCTCAGGTGGCTCCAAGCCATTTATCTTTTTATTTTCTTCCAACTAAATCAAATTCCCTTGGCATTGCTAAGGCACATTAGCTTGACATGGGCAAGCATTACCCAAACAGTATCCACAGTAAGTTAATGATACGTTGCAGAAGAAAAATAAATACTTTAAAGGAATAACAATCAAGAGAAACATCTTCAGGGAGGCCAACTCTTGTGCTGATCACTTGGCTAGAATCGGGCCCTCCATTGGTTCCACCTTTATTGGTTTGATGAACCACCTTCTAGTTTATCTCCATTGTTAATGGCTGATGTAATGGGAATCAAGTTTCCCAGAATTGCTATTTTGTAATGCCCCTGATGGGGTTTGCGTTTGTTTTATGCACCTTTAATTAACACCCTCCCCACCCCCCCTCCCCCCAAAAACAAAAAAAAACCAATCAGGAGAAAAGAACTATGAAGAAGAAGCGGCCCAATCAGATTCTATCATAGATTTGTAGAATTCTCCTGCCTTGTACGATGACGTTACCATAGGACTAGATGCCACATACCGAAATCCCTGACCCATCCAAAGAAGATATTTAATAAGAAAAATTCACGCAGATTCACAGTTCAATACAGATGTGGAAATAAT